TTCGAGATGTGGGAAGAGCTAAAGGTTTAAGATGTGGGAAGTGCATGGTTTGAGACATGGGAAGAAACAAGTCCAGAAGAGCTCGATTCAAGAGAAGAGTTTGAGTTTAAGTTTTGAAGATTGAGGATTAGTTTTTATGAAGCATGAAGACACACAAGAGAAGATGATTGTGAGACTTTTATTGCAGGTAAAGCCAAGCATGTCTAGCATGAAGATAGATGATTGATGGAATTTGAGTCAAAGTGGAGATTATTGAGAATATTGACTCAAATCTCATAAGAGATTTGTTTGAGATTTGTTAGAGATTTGTTTAAGATTTGTCAGATATTGCTTGATGGACAAAAAGACTTACAAAAGAAGAATTCTAAGAGAAAGATGACTCTTAATAGTTAAGTTTAACTTGCAAGAGAAGAATTCTAAAAGAAAAGGGATTCTTAATAGGTAAATTTGTCTTACAGGAGAAGAATTCTAAGAGGAGAAGGATTTTTAATGGACAAGTTTGTATGGTTATAAATATGTGAAGTCTCTATAAGGTTTGATATGAGAAAAAGATGTAAGAGAGTTGTAGGGTTTTGTGGGATAGACACCCCATATGAGTATTGGGGCTCTACGTCTTATGGGTGCGTATGTTTGTTTGTTTGTTTGTGAGTGGACTAAATAAGACTGAGAGAGTCCACATAAGTATGATGTATGGGAGCATATGGGTATGTGTTTGGTTATATTGAAAGTGTGCACAAGGGTTTGAGTTTGTGTTTGTTTGGGTTGATAGTACTTCATAGGACTAGAGGAGATTGAGAATGTCTTATAAGTATTGATTATTGAGTGAAGTTGATGATTTGATATAAGTTTGTAATTCTCTATAACTAATGGATCTTGTTTTTCATCTGTGGATGTAGGTCAATTGGATCGAAACACATTAAATTATTGTCTCTTGTGTGTTTGATTTATTGTTTGATTTCGCTTCCGTTGGTATGATTGGATTGGAGGTTTTTAGCTCAACAAATGGTATCAGAACTGTGGTGTTCCCTAACACCAAGAATGCAGTAAATGAACGAACAAGCCAGTAGCAAATGAACGGACAAAAGAGGCGACAACAGAGGCAGTTGCGCGAACAAGCAATAGTAGTGCAGCAAGTATACAATCAAGCAATAGAAATAGCAAGCAACAACAAGCCTGTTGACAATGATGGGTGTCTGTGGGTAGTGACAGGTTGAAATAAAGTAGAAACGAGGTTGGGTCCAATATGAGTGAATTTAAGTGTTCGGACAAGTCTGATAGGTTAGGTAAGATGATTTGAATTTCTGAATAAGGGTATGATGTGTTTGGGTAAGACGACAAGCTAATCTAGACAGTTGTGAAGTGTTTTGAAGTGATATGGCAAGAATTTGGTTATTGGTTTGGGTGAATTGATGAAGTGGATAAATGAATAGGTTGGTCAATGGGTCGATGTCGATTGGTAATGAGGTGTGTTGATCGGCTATAAATGGCAGATTATGGTTTTTTTCAGTTTTGAAAATGGGTGGAATTTTGGTCTTTATGATGTTTTTGCCGAAGGTCTAAGCTAGTGACAAACTTGTGTAATCGTCAGTTTAAGGATAAACAAAAGATGGAGTAAAGTAGACTAGATCAGTAGAGGTGGCTGCCTCGGTTCGGGAATTGATTTAGGTAGAACAGAAAAGGGAAAGAGTTAAAATAAGACAAACAGAATGTATTTCCAATAGAAAGAAAGGTGTGTCTATCGACGGCGGTAATGGATATGTCTTTGGTGGAGGCTCGGGTGATAATCGGGGAAAGATTTCTGATGTTCTAGTCAACTAATCAATTTATCTGGATGAAGATATAGTGATTCAGCTAATACAGTGAGGGATAGAGGGCCAATTTAAGTCAAACAGACTCAATAAAGAGGTGGGTTTCGATCGAAGACAATTACGAGGATGGTTTGGGGGTTTTGGTTTATGAGTTGAATGAAGTCCTAGGATTTGATAGTAGCTTGGACACAAATTTGGGGAGGCTTCTGGTGTTTAGGTCAATTGATAAGAGGTTTTAATGGCTGAAATGAGAAATAAATGAAGTTTTTTAGGCCAACTTTTTTGGTTATTTCTCAAGGCAAAATTCGGACTTCAACTCCTGAAGATAATTTACCCGAGATTTATCTGGAGAGATAAATTGGAGAATTATCACATTGCCCTCAATCTGCATGGCCTGCCAATCGATAGTGTACTGTTCTTCTGCCTCAGAATAGTTTAAAACCCATCTCGGTTAATTCCCACTCCAAAGTGAAACTCTTTATGGCCGACTGATAGACATGTTTTTGGACCCTTCCAAGGCTTAAAATTATAGCCCCATCCCTAGAAATTTCAACGTGGGTCCACTTGTGCAAGCTAGCCGATCGGCAGTTGCTGTTGCGAATAAAGAAACTCGTTAATCCTTTTCTAATTTTCTTTCATTTGGAAAGTTAATTAGCTTGTTAATTAACTGGAATGCAAAATTTGATGCTTACAATGTGTGATAGCATGGTACATACAATTGCATGCTTTTAAGTGAGTAATGAGATATGCTTTTTAATTCGAAAGCTTAAAGATATTGTATGTGAAATGGAATAGTAAAAGTTGGGTTATCTCAAGAGAGATTGAAGGTTTGATTTTTTTTATATTTTATTCCCTAAAATTCGCACCTAGTTTTTTGGTAAAAACAAGACTAGCAATTTTGGTGCCTATAGTCAGTTCTCAATTTTTTATTTAAACCGAATGATGACTCTTAAAATGACACTTACACCTATACGAGAGTAATAAGGTTAAACATGCTTCACTCATAACATATTTATAAATTTTTAAACCAAAGAACTTAATTCGAAGATAATAAATGGATATAATAAGAATCAAAGTTCTAAACCCTTATCTAAGATAATCCCAACATCTATTTAAGCAATTCCCGACTAACTTATGGATTAAAAAGCATATCTTTCTTTTTTGTACCTAATAACAAATAATGTGATATAAATAATTTATATATCTCGTGTAATCACGCATGAATCTAGAAAGATGCATGTGAGCTGGTAGCCTTGAGTGGTTTATCAACCAATAAAAGATGTAGGTACGATGTTATCAATCAATTGCATTAAATAAATCAGTTTATACTATTATTATAAAGACAAGAAAGACTAACCAAATAAACATGTAATATGACCTAGTCTAAATGGCATATTTAGATGACAGTTCAATAAGATGCCTCAAGGGCATATTTAATGCAACCCATTATTCTTACTTAATTTAAATGATAAGATAATACAAGATATAATGAACGTGGATTTACATGAAAAATATCCATCGTCTTGAACAGTAAAATAAACTTTAATTTTAGCTATATGGCATATCATCGTACATTCTTAAGTCTACAAGATATGTGATTATGGATGATATGTCAACATGCACATAAATTGATAAAGAAGACCTAAAATTGTTAAGGGTTGTAGGAATTATACCTAAATCCACTTGGTATAAGATTTAATACTTTTGATTAGAACTATCTGGATCGTTATGTAAAGTTTTAGCTGAATCAAGACTTTTTAAAGAAACTTAATTTGATTGGAACTCTTTGGTCAGAGTTTTGATGGTTGTCGTACTCTTTAGAAGAATTTTGATTTTACTAGAACTCTTAAGGAAGAGTTTTGGTTAGATTTTTTTGAACAGAGTTTTGATTAGGTATTTATGTTATGAAAGATGCTTTGGAAAAGTGAAGACAAAGCCTCATGTTTAAGGTATGTGAGTGAAATGGAAGCGAATGTTTAAGATAGGGTTGGAGAGTGGGTGTCAATGAGATTTTATGGAGAACTTAAGAAGGGTTTAGAATTGAGTTTGTCAACGGGAGAGTGAAGAAATGTTTGAGGTTTGTTGAATAAAGAATTGAAGGGAACTGTTTATGATTAGAGGTGGGGGCCAATTTAGGAATGAATGAAGGACTATTTCTTTATCGGATAATTAAATCAAGCTAATTAAATAATAATTATCAGATAAATAAATCAAAATAGTTAACTAAAATTTAAACTAAGAGATAATTAATTAAAATTATCACATTAAACCTTGTTTACATATGCCAACTGTCAACTGACATGACGATTGATCACCTGAGTCCTATTTTTTTTTGTTGATAAAAGGCTAAAATTTCATCCAAATTTATTTTCAATTCAAACTAAACTCTTCTCTATCGATCGATGGATTCATGTGTTGCTCAGCAACCTTTTCGTTCTAAGCCCAAAATTATATCTTATAACTAATATATAACGAGGGTAAAGATCATATGGGTCTTAATCAAAGGGTCATTAGTTTATTAAATTAATTCAATGTTACTTACTATGCCTACAGGTCTATGCATTATAGTCTAGTGTATATGTTTACACCATATATCTATAATGTAATTATTAAAACGAAATTATCAACTAAAAAGCATAAAATAAAAAATCAAATAGAAGATATTTACAAGTCTTAAGCCGTACTTAGACAACTTCCCCTTTATCGGTTTATTGTGATTGTCTTTAATTTTATGTTCAATTAATCGATAACTAATTTTTTTTTTTTTAACTATTTTTAGAAGTAATGGTTTTGTTATAGGAAGTTTATAATAACTTTTATATTCTGATATAAATAATTATTTCGATATAATATATATTATATCAGTATTAAATATTAATTTATTATCAATCTATTGAATTATTTTATCAAAAAAAAACTTTATTTATAACATATAGTAATTAACATAAGAAAATTAATTCAATTATAAATATATAATTATATAAAAATTGTAATTGTAAAGAAAAAATTTAAAGATAATTAAAGTTAAAAAAACTAAAATAAATTAATAATTTGTATTATTTTTATGAAATTAATATTTTAATTTAAGTTCATATTACTTCTAATTAATTTCTTAAATTAATTTATTTTCGAATTGTTTTTTAATTGAATTAAAACATATTGGAGTTGTTAGCTTTTATGTCAAATTGATTTAGATCTGACTAGACTGGATTGGGGACAGTTGTTTTGGGACGCCTAAGTCAAAAATGGCAGGTCTAGTCATCAATCGCTAAAAACGCTGCGTTTAGTGCTATCCAAATCAATGGACGCAAGGTATCCTTTTGCAACTTCTAGGGTTTAAGGATGAGGCAGGAGGAGTTGGCTGTTGATCTATAAAATGCACTCCCATTCCCTCTTCTACTGTCCCTTCATCTGCCCCTTCTTTCCTTCTGAAGTTGTCTTTCTTCTCTCTCTTTTTTTTTTTTTTTTTAAGAAAAAGATAGTTTCCATTAAAAAAAAATAAACTGAGGTGGTAAATTTTTGTTTTGGTTGGATGAGAATAATGGATCAAATGATGAGTCTGAAAGACCAACAACATGATGGATTCATCCTATGATTCCTCGTATTTAAGTCTCTGATGATCTCAATCTCTTTTTTCTTTTCTTTACTTTTCTTTTGATTTCAGATATGATGCGTTTTTTATTTCATAATTATATCAGTTTTTTTTTTCTTTAAAAAATTAGAATAAAAAGGAGACGTTACCTGGGTTTCTCATATTTGATATTGAAAAATTGAACTTCATTCTGCCTTGTAAGTGATTATATTTCATTATATACTGTTTAGGATTTGGGAAATGATTTTGAAATCTCATCCTATTCTAATGTGAAATTCGATTAATAACCTCTGCTTAATAGAGACTGCCGAAGTTTCATTTTTATTTTTTCTTTTTTGATAAAAAAAGAATGCCAAAGTTGAAGCATAGGATATCCATTAGATCAAAAAAATTTTATTCGTACTTCTTTTCATTTTTTTTTTACCCAGCAAAGTTGAGTTTTGTATCATCAGTGAAGATTTGTATTACCAAATAAAAAAAATATCAATTCAGTTAAAGAATTGGCATAAAATTCTAATTAAATGATAGTAAACATATAAAATAAAAAGTTATAAATGGCATTTAATATATGAATTTAAATATTGTTTAACTAATTCTGCTTCTTAAATTATTCAGTTATTCAATCGAAAAAATTACTCAATACTTCGTTTTCACCTCTTTTCCAGATTTTTTTTTTCTTTTTTTTTCAATTTTTTTTTTTTTTATTTCATCTTTTGGGTGTGCAATGGTCTAGAGTCCATTAAGCCTAAAGAAATTATTAATAAATACAAGATATTTAAGCCAATTTTACTTTTTCTTAAGGCACATTATCAGGACAAAATTGTTTTGATATTTTTGGTGCATAAAAAATCTGTTGGGCTTGGAATTTTTTAATTTTATTTTATTTTTTTATAATTTGATAATCTCAAGCCATCTATTTGAAAGTTAGAATCCGAAATTCAAGCTTTTTATTTTCCTTTGCAAAATCTATGTTTTGAGAATTCTTTTTCGTGCATAAAGAAACTCAAAACATGGATTTTGAGAATTAAAATATGAAGTTCAAGTTTTGACCATTGGAATTGCTTTGTGCATATGAAGATGGTGTCTGTGTTTATATGAAAGAAGATTTCTATATTTATAATTCTGAGTAAGGCTTTTCGCAAGATATCTTTCTAACAAGGAAAAACAAAAAAAGGCTCTTCTGTGAGAATCAAGAAAATGCAGGCAAATCTATTCACCTTCGATTCGATTGGCATAGTATTAGAGTTAACGTTTGACAGATAAATGTGCTGTTCTTCTTTTCAAGTACAAGAGTAAAAAAATATTTAATGATAGATTAAAACAAACTAGTAAGTAGCATAGAAATCTTTAATAAAACGGAAAATTTTAATTGAATTTCCATGAATTACTTCCTGTCTGCACCCTTTGAGCAATAAAGAATATCATTAGCAGCAAATCCAATTACTACAGTGGCAAGCTGTTAGTACCTTCCAGTTCCATAGAGATGAATTTCGTGCCTTTGTTTCAAAAAAGATCAAGGATTTAAAATCTCTCTCAATTTAAATTCAAATCCGAATTTACAAAATGCACTTTTGCTGTTGATAGCAATTTTCAGTTAGCTGAAGAATTAAATTGGCCAGGTTATCATATCTCAAAATGCACAACTTGTTTAAACCATATGATATTTTGCAGTGTCATAGATTAACAAATAAGATGAGTGTCTTACCTTCTCTTATAAACCAGGGATTATAATCTGCATCACACTATATTGCTTAATTACATTGATAACAAATCAAAATTCTCATTTCAATAATCAAAGCAACATCTCTCTCTAGTCATAACTAAGAAAATTAAGGGCAGCAGGAGGGATTTTGCAAGGAAAATTTGTTTCTCAGACTTGCTGTTCCTACATAGACATCTCATGCACCAGTTTTATGGAGTGATACATCTGGATTACCCTCCCTCTTTGTGTACACAAGAAAGTCCACCAGCAGATTCATACAAGATAATCTTGTAATCAGATTAAAATTCTGTGTCAAAACACGCTAACATGATCTTTGAAACCATGGACCTTGCAAAAGGGATGTAGCTCAAGCTATACCTATGGATCATGTAAGAAAAACATTAAGAGATGTTGCTCCCTCAACTTATGCAGAATTTGTGCAACCTGCATTTCTTAGTTCTCATATTTTCATTTTTCTATATTACCACAAATCCATCATAAAATTCTAATTTCAACAAATTTCTTTTTATCAACAAGTAATCTAACAGATAAATTATATTTACATGTAACCATTTAAATAAAATATTCATAAAACTTTTAACTTCTTGATAGGAATCTTTCATTTACATGATAAGATTCCCTCTCCACTTCGTCAACCCTATTCCATTCATCATAGTTAACATCCAGATATAAGGAAAAATTGAGGGAGTCCGGCTCTGTTGTTCTCTTTAATGGGTTGTATGTGGAGAAACTACTATTTGCACTTGTGAGCAGAAATAGAGATGATAAAACAACTCGTACTTAGATTGGGATGTGTTTCTTTGTTTGAAAATTGGGGTCAGGTTCAAGGTATGTATAAAAATAATATATTTTATTGTTTTTTTAATTTTATATTTATATATTATATCTTAATAAGTTTATTGTTTAATATGTTAATTTAAGATATTAACTTAATAATAAAATACATTAATATATTACAAGGATATAATTCATACAAAAAAAAATCATGAATATTTTACTAAACTAAAATCATTAAAATGAATATTGGGTTGGATCAAGTCAGATATGGGTTATAAACATTTTCTTAAGGTCAGGGTCAGGTATCAAAGTGATAATCTGGGGTCAGTTGGGGTGGGCTTGGCTGGAGAAGCTAAAGAGTTGGGCAGACAAAAACCACACCACCTTGTTACCATCCCTAAGAAGAAGTGTGTAGAGCTGGAGATCACTAAGGCTCTCCATTTCTTAAGACTAGAAAGCTAATACATCAGAAATCAAGGAATTTCTCAATGTCAAAACTGTATCAACAGAAAATTTTAGACAATAAACAATAAATCAATTGAAAGCTTGAGGTGTTTAACCATAGGAAAGTCTGTTATGTTAATGCAAGTATTTATACATGTATGAAAGAAGAGAACTCCAAAAATACATCTAGAGATTTAGAGAATGCAGCAAAGTACAAAATACCATAGAAAGAACAATAAGATGAGAGAGATCAAAGAAATAAGGCATCATTGCCTCAAAAACCAATATAACTAATCAATTCCGTGGACAAAATCCTAAATACATCTAAGAAGTAAGAACTAGGTATATCTAAGGTAACATTTAGGTATTTTTACATGAAATTTGTAAAGTTCTTGATTAAAAACTATAAAATGAAATCACAAACTGAATACCAGAACCTCTGATTTATAGTTCATTTTCAGTCAATCATGTGTATAAGAAATTAAGTAATTTTCTATTTATCTAAAATCAAACTTTCCATTAAAATTTGCATGTAGATATATTTTCCTAAATATTTTATATATTATGGATCTCTTCAATAAAATTAATCAATTTACAGTTTATATTTTCTTTTCATGGTCTTTACTCTTAAATATATTTTAGTTATAAACTTCACCTAAGAGACTATTTCAAAGTTTAAACAAAATCTTATTGATTGCAAAACGACAGTCCACTAGGACGCAAAATAGGAAACTATATATACCCTCATCTAGAATGAGTCCCTATAGTATTGGATGTCCCAAAATTAGTGGGGTGAAATACACAACCCCCTTCACAAAATAGTAAATGACACAAATCCTCGTCTAGTTTGAAAATGCCACTTTACCCTATTCCCTTGAGTTTTGACCATTAGGGGAGTTAGTCAAATCATTAGCTTTGTCAGCCCCAATGCCACATTAGCTCAACTTTTTTTCATTTTAGATATCATATTAAACCCTTAATTATGCCTCAATTTCCTATTTATCTTAGTCATAAAAAAGAGGTAAAATTGTAAAATTGTACCTTTTATATTCCTACGATAACCAAAAACCCCTCTTTTGCTCTCATGAAAATTCATCATTTCTCAAATAAGTTTTATGTTAGTCATGAAAATTCATTATTTCTCGGATAAGGTAAAACCTTTTAAATTCATTATTTCCTAAATAAAATTACCTAATTACCCTTTCACAAGTTTTCAAATATTTATATTCGTTAAGTTTTATGATTTTTCGGAAATCCATTTCCATAAAAGAAGAAAGTGAAATTTAAAGAAAAATTACAAAAAAAGAAATGTTATTAAAAATTCTTATAAATTAGTGTAATAAAAAAAGTTATTATTAGAAAAATCATATTTTAAAATTAATAAAAAAATTAACTTTACTATTTTGATTTTAGAAAAATAATAAAAACTTATGCAACTCTAATTAAATTAAAGATAAAATAGTAAATGTAATTTTTTTAAAAATTTATCATTTTTAATAAATATTTTTTTGTATTGATTATTAAAATTTTATAATAGCTCTAACTAAACTAAACACTTTGGAGAAGTCTCTCAATTTACTTATCACAATAGATTTTTTCAATTAGGATACTAGATTTTGAAAAAATTATGTAGTATTCAGTAGTATTACTTGTATAGCTTTAAAGAGTTTTAGCTCTTATATGTTGATCAAACTCGATAATTTTTCATCACCTTTCATAATATCAAGAAATGAAATATTTAATTAGAGTCTCATAAGATTTTATTTTTTCTCTAAAATCAAAATAGTAAGATTAACTTTTTTTTAAATTTATAAGTTTTTCTAATAATAATTTTTTTATTATACTAATTTATAAAAATTTTTAATAAAATTCTCTTTTTGTAAATTTTTTTAAAATTTCGCACTCCTCTTTTTTGAAAAGTTTTATAACTTTTCGAAAATCTATTTCAGGTAAATCATATAACTTTTCGGAAATGAATTTCCTACAAGTTATAAAACTTATCGGATATAAATATCGAGAAACTTATAAGAAGGATATTTAAATAATTTCACTTACAAAAAATTTTGAAAAAAAAAAAAGTGGGTTGCGAAGAGCAAAAATTGTGGTGCATTTAGAAACTCCATTCATGGAATCCCAAATCAAGATGAGAGGTAATTGGAGGCAAAAGAAATGGCTTTGAAAAATTTGCTCCTTCAATTCGAACCACCAAAAAAAGACTAGGTTTACATTTTTTTTTCATAAATTTGAAGAGATATTGTATTATCATCGGAGAGATTTTTTTTTTTCCCGTCGTGGGAGATTGTGAGCATAGAGAGGGTAAATAAATGGCACATTAAGGAATAAATAAAGATTTAATATGTAAAAAAAAGCTTGGGCAATGTAGCAGAATTAAACTGTTGTGGCATTGGAGATGACAGGAATAACAATTTGACTCACTCTCTTAATGTTCAAGGGGGTAAAGTGGCATTTTCAAACTAGATGGAGGTCAGTGTCCTTTCTTTTTTTTATTCAGGGAGGTTTGTGTATTTCACCCGAAATTAGTGTTCTCATTAAGCAATCATAGTTTCTTACTATCCCTCAGCTGTTCACCTTTACACGTTAGTCAATACAAAGCAATTGTCACAAGCACATCATCTGAGAAAGAGTGCAAGAAAAAGTGCGATGTTATGTGTAATATGTCATGCCTCACATTTTGAGTAGGATCTCATTCACAAATTTTTAGTGGGAACCATGATTATGGGACGAGTAATAAATAAAATATATGACCAACTTGAATTCTGAGAAAATGGACCTAACACATAGATGGAATTTCAGTATTTTGACGTACCAAATCAGTGCACCAAATTCCAAAATGATGGCCAAAAATGTAAGTAGCTTGTTATGAACCTGTCCAATAAGGGAGAGCTAAGGTTATCACTTAACCTGTCACACTCTACAATTACTAAAACCTATAGAGAATGTAAAAGAAAAGGGATGCAGAATGTTAATAATGGACAATAGCAGGCTAATAGTGACTTACATAGAAAGCACTAAACAGAGCAATAATCATACTTGCAAGATATATGGCTGTTGCATATATACGAACAGGATCAAGCATCATTGACACCTGCCTTTTTGGGCCAATGAGGAATGTTGTGCTGCCATACAAAAGACTCCAACTTAGCATCTGAAATAAATACAATAGCCACAATGAAAAATTATAAAAGGAAAGAAATGGAGCTACTTTTGAAAAGGGACTATGTAACACAAAGAAATTGCATAAATGTTAAAACAACAAAGAAACCAGCAGTCTTTAAAGAGTTCACAATCCACGTTAAAAGTTAGAGCAGCAAAAGTTGTCTCTCCCTTATATAACTAGTGGAGATGGGTGTTCGTGCTTCATAGGAAGGAGTGAAAAGAAAGGTTCATAAAGAAGAGTAGGGATCTTTACATAAAGATGCAAAACCAATGAATGAAAAGAAAAAGTTAAGGGAAAATGAGGAAAAAATAGACTACATTCAATTCTTAAGGAGCAAAGGTGACTAAATTTAAGAGTAGTAATAGTCTCACCCAGCATGGAAACAGCAAAACTTCACTACATACATGTACCTAATGATCAAGAAGTACATGAGTCCCTTGCAACTTTACTAAAATTTGCATCCTTTATGTTGGTGGTAACACTTTACTAGGAAGGAGAGAAAACGGAACAAAGGAAAGTGGATGGAAGGAAAAGAGGGAAATATTCATTTCCCTTATTAATTTGGAAGAAAAATGGTAACATACAATGTATTCTTTCACACCAAAGTTCTACTCCCTCTATGGAAGGAAAATGAAAAGAGAACACTTAACCCAGATTCTTTCCCTTCCTCCCAATTGCACTATGATCTACCAAACAACCATTGAATCGCACAGTTTTCATGTTCCCTTTATTCTGTTTTTTCCTTCCCTCCTTCCAAACAGTGTTTCAATGAGAAGTAGAGAAAATCAGATGCACACTTTAATAATTTATATAAACCACCAAAATCAATACAATGCATGAACAAAGCTAACAAAAAACTGAACCGTGAGACACGACCATGTGCACATGCAGACATACATAAATGCATAATCATTTTAACCAACAAATTAGAAGCCAAATAGATACACACACACACACACACACATATATATATATAAATTTAGATGCAAACCTGCCAAGCGAAAGCAAATTGCCAAATGTAAATGTGATTCCAAACTTGATTGGATGGAAGAAAACAAGGATCGACTGTGAGATAAGCAAGAGAAAGCAAAACTAGATTAGTTTATTCAACAACAACAAATTCAATGATGCAAACTGAAGCAATATAAGTACATAAAATTTTTAAAGCACTGTCCCATAGCCAGAAAAGCATGCAGGACTGAACTTCCATTTTTTTTTTGGCAACACAAATAAACAATACCAATAACTAAAATGATATGTTGAAAAGTAGGAAGTGCAAAAATGTTAAGTGACTTATTTATAATTTAAAAGTAAATAATGTTTTAGGGAATCTGCAATACTAATGCAAGCTAAGATACTAAGATTTCAAACTTCTGATGAAACTCTATACGTCAAAAGTCAATGCAACAATAAAACAAATCGACATAGAAGAGAAACAATAGCAAACACTTAAATTGTCAAGACTCAAGAAGATGCAAGGTAAGAAATTGTAAATTTGCCACCATAATTTTGAAGCAGTTGCAAACATTGAAAATATTTCTAATTTCACATGCTTCTCAATTTCTCAAGTAAAAGCAAGTTTCCTTGGAAAAGAAGTCATAATTCACAGAGAAAGTTTCAAAATGTGAATCTATTGCAAGGAATGCAAACAACCAAAATCACCTCATGGAACCTGAACTTCGAAGCTTGTGATCAATATAACTAGCTATCAATCAAACCTCCAGAAGAGTAGAAACTTTTAATAGGTTCATTAAGGAAATTTTTAGGCCTTGTATCACTTATCTCATCCGATATACTAGTAGTTTGTGCTTCAAGAAAATTAATGGCTAGGAAATGGTAATTTTCCAGGACATATGGTAATGCATTAGATTAAAAAAAGCTAACTCCATAGTTATTATATGATAATACTTACCAGGAGTGTACACGTTAACCCAGCAACCAAGCAGATTGCAAACCCATAAAACCTCTGAAGCAAGAGAGAAAGAAAGTCATTCGTTAAAATAAAAGAACGCACAACAATTACACAGAGTATCAGGGGTTGACAAAAGATGAATCCGCATTGAGTGTTTTCAAGCCAATTTGAAAGTGGCCCGGATCTTAAGCTCCGAGAAGAGAAAGCAAGTAAGTATGAGAAAGCAAAACCTGTTTGGTGGTCAAGGTGCAGTGGCGATTGAAGTCGTCCATGAAAGAGAAGGAGTTTCCGTCTTCAATAGCAGGCTGTTGTTGCTCATCTTCCATCTCCATTCCCACCAGCATTTTCATCTTCTCAAACGCATGGTTAATCTTCTCCATCTTTTCCAACTCTTTCTCTCTCGGAATTCCTCGAGGTTGGATTGGATCTGATGGTCTACCCACAAACAACCGTTTACTCACTAATCTGTTGCTTTAATTTTAACAAAATTTTGAAAGCTACAATATTCCCCACTTCCTTTTCTTTCTTGGGCTGCTTCTATCCTTTGGGGCTAAATCTCATCTTGGGCTTTCTCTCTCGTTTTTGCTTGAACGGCACAATGGCATGCCATATTTTTTAATTAATGATGAAAAATTCTCATTATGTTACATGATTTAATGATTTAATATTGAATTCAGCCTCTGGTAGGGCTAACAAATTTAATCGAAACCACTCGAAACCAAACCTTACGCAATTTAATTTAGTCCGTAAAAAATCAACAAGTCGAACTTACACGAATTCAAAATAACTAAAATTCGTAATGATTGAACTTGTTAGTTTTGAATTATTTATTATTTTAAAATGATAACATTTTAAGTTTTTTCTTCAAATTAAATTTGCTTAAAATGTTTTTATATTTATCAAATCAAAAATTAATTATAAAGATTATTTGTTTGAATTTAAATGCAAGTTCAATTGATATTCAAATCAATTTTATTTTTCTTGTACTTAATATAATTTCAACCTTTTTATTTTGAAAAACAAAATTTTCAATGAGCTTCATTTGATTGGAGCTTTTATTTTTGAAAAAAAAAATTGACGTTGAGCTATAATGTTTTCTGTAACAAATCAAATAAATATTCTCAACATTAGGTTCTATTTTGACAAGGTTTACTTAATGTAAGCTTTTCAAATTATATCATTTTTCTTATTAAATAAAATCTAGACTTTTTAATTGATTTTGAAATTTTTGATGTATACAAATTTTTTAAAAGAGTTAATAATATTCATGATTCTTAAACTTTAAATAAACTTATATTTAGGTTCTTAATTTTTAAAAAATTTTAATTGAATCTCAGTTGCTCAAAATAATCATTTTTTTTAATCCTTTCATCTACACAATTGTTTAAATTGACAATAAATGGCAATTAAGGCTACATAGATGGAATCTGTATGACATCAACTAGCATCTCGTGATAAACGAAAGAATTAAAATAGAATTTTACTTAAATTTAGGGAATTAGCAAGCTACTATTTTAAAATTTTTATATTTTATATATATTTGTGATATATTAAATTTAAAATAATATTTTTATATTTTTTATCATATTAGTTAAATATGTTTGTTTTAATAAAAAGTAGATTTTAAAATTTATAATTAAGGTAAATAGTTCAAAATCCTTTTTTAAAAATTCCATATCATTTTAAATTATATTTTTTTATTAAAAATATTATTTTACTCATAAATCATATAAAAAATATTACTTTCTCTAGAAAAAACTACTTTCTATTAAAAATATTAAATACATTTTTCTTTTCCCTTTTTCAAATATATTTTGTAAAATATATTTTATAAAAAAGAAAAGAAAATAAAAATAAATAAATAAAATTAATGAAAGAAAAAAATAGTTTTTATCTTCTAAATATATTTTAAAAAATATTATAATTTAAAAATAATTTTTTATTATAATATGATTTAAGTGTAAAATAATAATTTAATCAAAAATATATTTTTTTTTAAAATAAAGTTAAACTTTCTAAAATCTTTTTAAAAAAGTCTATACCATTTTCCAAAATTTAAGTAAAAAATTATGTATCGGTTTAAAAATTAAATAAAAATTTATATCGTTTTATAGTATTAACTAAAATTTCCATATCATTTCAAAAAAAAAAAATTATTAATCTATTTTCTATCAAAAAAATATTTTTTTAATCTATTTTCTATTAAAAACTTTATGTTTGTATAAAATAAAAATATTATTTTCAATAACAAGAATTTTTCTCCGTATCGGATTGACATGGTAATGGCCTTTATGATTCTCTATTTTTTATTTTTTATAAATATAAAATTTTAATAGTATAATAATTTTTTTCAATAGAAAAAAAAATTGATGAATAGATTAATAAATCGATTTGTTTAAATGATATGAAAATTTTTACTCAATATTTTAAAAAGATATGGAGTTTTTTATTTAATTTTTTAAAGTGATATAGAAATTTTTACTTAAATTTTTTAAAATGATATAAAAAAATTTTCAAAAGGATTTTGTAAATTTTAACCTAATTTAAATTTTGAAAATCTATTTTTATTTAAAAAATTAACTAATAAATTATATTATAATAAAATATAAACATATTATTTTAATTTAATATTTTATAAAATATATATGATATTTAAAAATTTTGATATCGTAGAAATATATGTTTACTTTAGTGAATGTGCATGAAAAAATTATGATTTTTTTTCAAATTTAAAGTTAGTTTTTCATTTTAGAATTTGAGAAAAATTTATGTTGATGATTGACTAGATTAGTTAATTGACTATGGTTAGAAAACATGTTCGATTTACCCATAAGAAGAGTTATTAGGTTAATAAATTCAATTATATCTATTTTTGTTTAGGATAATTCAAAATCCTTACTAAAATTTTTTATGGCATTTTGAATTAATTAGGCTTGGAAAATGGATGGGAATAGGTCTTTGATGCATAATCAATTAGATGTAAATGGGTATATTATGAATAAATTCTTGAACAAAGTTAAAATGTTTATAAATTTTACATTTTTTCATATGGAGCTTGTTAGTGAGAATAAAATAAAATACTTGTGCATCAAATGTAGAAATAAATGATTTTATCAAGTTGATGATGTGCATAGGCACTTCTATTACAAAAGTTTTTGCATTAATTATACAATTCGAAATGTACATAGAGAACTTGAACAAGGTCAATCATTGAGAAATAAAGATGAGAACTTTGATCCAATGTGAAGTAGAAACACAAAATCCATATATCGATATGATTACAGATGTTTTATATCCTAATTTTGATTTGAATGCTACTTTTTTTAATGAGAGAAGATTCGAGGAGTAACAACTGATCGAATTCTACAGCATCAAACTTTTATTTTCCATTGAATAGCGTAAATGAATTATTGTAGTCAAGTGCAAAAAGCACATAACAAATGGTTTTTTTTTTTTTATGATTTATTGACAGAGATGACTTTATTAGGGAGTGTTTCTTTAATCTTGCTCATGTTAAAGATATTTTTGCATTAACTTTTAAGAATGAAATGTGTTATTCTCTTTTGTAATAATCTTGATGTTCAAAATATTTGTGGTCAAGGATACGATGGGGCTAGTAATATGCTCAAAAAATGGAAAGGATTGCAAGCATTATTCCTTAACGATTGCCATTTTGCTTATTATGTGCATTGTTTAACTAATTTGCTACAATTGCCTATTATTGTTGCATTTGGAAAAGTACATTTTGTTCATGAGTTTTTCAATAATTTGGCTTTCGTCATCAATTCTATTGATGCTTTATGCAAATGTCATGAAGAATTGTCATAACATATAGATCTGGAGATCTATCGCTAGATATTGACTTTAAGGAGTTATCATCAATCCTTTTTGTTTAGGTGCGATTGGCCACCCAAGGAATCTATCCTTTCAAGGAATACCTAAGCTTAAAGGTCCCTAAAAGAATAAGTTCAGGTCTATTAACCAGAATAGGGTTCGAGAGTATAGTTACGTGTGAAAAAGGTTATAATACCCTCGCAACGCCCATCGAAGGATGGTACCAGCTTGATTTTGTGTTACCCATTAAGCCTAAATAATTTACCAAGTAATTAATTATTGAAAATTATTCTTGATTGACTCCAATACTTTTGGAAGAAAATTAAAAAAAATCCCATCACCTCAAGAGTATGCAAAAAACTACTGTTTCACTTGCAGAGACTTCATCGTTAGATTATTTAACATTAAAAAAATTACAAAAAAGAAATAAAATAAAAAATAAAAAAGAATAATGATTCATCTTTTAATATAAATCTTTTTCTTGTCATTTTGAAAAAACTTATTGCTTTTCTACAAGCAAAATTGATACTTTCAACTTTTCCTCAAAATGTTTTTCTTGATAATTTTTATTTTTAAGAAAAATTGGCATTTCCAACTTTTCCTCAAAATGTTTTTTGATAATTTTTATTTTAGAAATTTTACTTTAAGAAAAATTGATACTTTCAACTTTTATTCAAAGCATTTTTAAAAAAAAATTATTTTCAAGGAAAATTGATACTTTCAACTTTTCCTAAAAAATATTTTTTGGGAATTTTTATCTTAGGAAAAAAAATTAAAGAATACCAAATAATTCTAACTTACAAATAATAACAATAATAATAATAAATAAATAAATAAATAACTATTAAAAAAAACTTTGGAACGGCTCGGTTTAGCAGCTGAAATAGCTCGACTTGAGGCAAAGACAAATTATGCATCTCTTTGCTCAACCCAAAATTGACAAGAATTGAATTCACCAACACGGAGAATTGATGTAAAAAAAAAGATCCAGCTCTAAGTACCGATCCATATATAGTGAGATAGAAGATATTTGTCCTTCTTGTTGGCAACAATTTCATTCCTTGAAAAAGAAGAATTATAATGACAAGAAAAGTGCCAATAGCCATTGAACAACTATAGTAAAAAAGAACCCAATTGCTGACAAATGGTGTCGACAACAACAAAACCAATCCTAAAGCAAGAAACACAAGCTGCCATCGTTGTAAATCTTCTTCAATAGCAATCATAATAGAGCCAGACACATCACCAATGAACTTCACATCAATGTACCTATCATCATAAGGTGACATGACAACATGCCATATACCCTTTTGTATTGCCTTTTAATCATCATTCTCATAGTTGCATAATCTAAGTGAAGCATTCTGATGAAAGCAAACTTGTATTTTAGTGTGTAATCTTTCAGGTATTAAAACAAATGAGGCCAAAGAAACACGAAAAAAATTGGCATAACTCCCAAGTTTCAATCTTAAGAGACCAAAAACTCGAACTAAGTCATATAACAAAACATCTTTAGAACCGTGAATGGATGAATGCCTAGAAAGGGGGGTTGGGGTGACATTTAGTGCTGGACTTGTTGCTAAGTCAATGCTTTTGAAAGTGGGTGATCACCTGCAAAGCACATGAAAGGAAAAATAGAGCAAAGAAGAAAATGGAAAAGAAGGTTGTCATCGTCAACCTTTTCCCCCTTTTTTCTCTAATTTTTTTGTATACTAGAAGATGGCTTCGCAAGTAGCATTGGAGGTTTCTTAGGATCAATAAGTAAACACTCCTTAAAAGCATGATCCCATATGCTGTCAACAATATCCCAATCAACAATAACCCTATCCTTTAAGAAAGACAGAACCTCTATATGCTTACGTCGAAAACCTAAGGCTTAAGAGCCTACATACAATATGCATTTTCCCTTGGGTTTGTTAGAA